TCGGATGTCCTTTTTTCTCATCAACCAACAACTGAATAATTCGGCCAAAACATTTCAAAATTTTTATCTATTTCGCTATATTTTAGGGGAAAATATGGTACAGTCGAAAAATTGTATATGGCAATTAGTTGAAGCACACTAAAATAACATAACTTCGATTCCATTAAATACAAAACTGGTATTTTGTTCTAAAATTTTTGGTTTAACTTGATATACCTATTAATTTTTCATTTGTATTGGAAACTTAGGATTTTGATGGCCTTTTTAAACTATCCACATGTACATAAATATGCCTTCCATCTTCGTTGCGCCACTTTTTATATCATGTTTTGTTTATGTGTTTTAAATTTCAGCAAATAATTTTTATATAGAGAATTTTATCTAATTTAAAAACATATAACTATGTACGTGTGTTCTTTTAAATGCTGGTACTTTTTCTGCTAAATTAGTAAATTTTTGTTGGCGATTTGGTACAAAATTATAAAACTCAACCCTGGTTCACATGGTCCAAAGTTAGCCCACAACATACATACAAAAAATACATATATATGTACGTATTAAAGTAGCTAAAAATTTGTCCAAAGCATACGTTAAAAAAATGTATGAAAAATCAAACATTTTTGGGCACCTCCTTAATTGACAATTTTCAGGTTTTTCGTTGCGTTTTAGTAGCCCATTGTAAAAGACATATATATATGTACATACACACTATATGCACATGTGTACAATTTTTTTTAAGGATATTTGTAAAAGTGTTTTAAATATAGAAATATTTTTTTACAAAAATTTATTGGAGCATTTGACGCTGCAAGTGACATATGATGTCGCTGGTACACAAATATACATATGTACATAGATTTTAGCGCTCATAAGAATATTTTTATGCAAAAACTTTACAACAAAAACTCATGCACAAGCCAATATACATATAGAGTATATATGCATACATATATGTATGTATATGTATGATACACATAGTAGTGCGATATTCATAAATACTTACATATGTACAATAAATGTACTCTTTTACTTTCACTTTTTAGTCTCACACGCGCACGCTAGTGATGGCGGATGTAAATGACATATTTTACAATAATTTGTGTATTTAATTTTTTGCTAAAATATTTTTACGTATATATATATGTATGTACAAAGCTGGCTTTCGTATAATGCGGCATTCCCTTTATTCTTTAAACGACAAGGAATTTTTTGATGGGACTTAATAAGAATATTCAATATTGACTTGCTAGTAGATATCGGAACTATTTCTTGCACGCTTATTTTCCAAAAGTTTTTCAACGGCTCGGCGGACAGTGTAAGATTTGACCCATCTAGCTGCTTTTAATTCTGTAATTCGAAAACTATTGAAGATAGGTTAATGAAATTTTGCACAAGATTGCATTATAAGATAGGCGAAGCTTTTTACAAAAAATTGGTAATTTATAGTTACTGTCACGCCACCCTATTATATAGCTGCAATTTTTAAAAATGCAAAAACTGAAATATTTAACTAACTACAAAGGCTAAAATGCCCAAAATTGATATTTAGAATTATAAACTGACAGAAATGGACTTAAAAATAAATATATATTTTTTTTAATTATGGGCGTGGAAAATATCGTTAAAAAAGTCAAGTTGGGTCAGCAAAATTCCGTTATAAGTTCAACATTTCTTACTCTATTTACAAAAATGGGATACCATTGGAAAGGTATCAGGCTTTCTCTATTCAAAGCAAAAATATAAAAATTTGTCGCGGTCGAGATAAAATGCAAATGAATTACTCGAAGAAAATGAAATTCCCAGTAGGCCAGAAAAATGAAAATGTCATCAAAACCTGCACTTTCCAGCAGCTAAAATTATGTTGTTTAAAATCTAAGAGGAGTGGCAAATAAACTGAGATACAAACTTTATCGAATAGTGGCGGATAACGAGTTTGCGGGTCTAATGAAATTAATAAATTGCTAAAAATAACTTTAAGTTAACATCGTTTTAAGTAACATGAAATACTCAGTGCTAGTTTACTAAAATCCCAAAAATGTATATTCATTAAAAAGAACATATTTACCCAAGCAAATAAGACCAAAATCGTATTTTAGTAATTGTTGCATAAATCACATAACACCGACAAAATAAACATTGAGATTCAGTTTCAAATATACAAGTTTAAATATTATTGCGCTCGGTAATTTTCCAAATCAAACCCCGTCCCGCCATACACTTTGATTTGAATTTTTTAGTTGTTATTGTTTCGTCTTTATCAGGCATTTCTAAAAATATACTTGACGTTGTTTTGAAATTTGGCGACATAAAATTATGTAATTAATCTTTTCTAGAATATGGAATTGATACTCTGTGCGGCGGTAGTGACTCATTCGCAATCGTATGCTGTGAATGCTGCATTACACTAAAGCCAGCCTTTCGACATAAGCTACTATTCCTCCATACGAACAGATATATATTTGTAGGTGCATTTGTAGGTGCTGCACTTACATTGCCTTTGACAGGCTGTCAAGTAAGTCGTCACCCTGAGGCAAATTAATTGAACATTTTTAGTTTAGCGTTTTTTGATTTTCAAATGTACACACATACATACCATCAAAGAATAAGGATTTACTTTTTCGAAAAAAGTTGCCAGCTTTTAACAAAATTAAGGTCAAGTTATATAAAATGTTAAACCAATTATTACGAAATGGGTATCAATCGAAATGGGTTTAAAAAGCTTTGTTTCTTAAATTTATTGTAGGAGCGGTGCCACCCGTTTAAAAAATTTAATTCTGTTTGAAAATTAAGGGAATACGGTAATAGAAATATGTATGTATCACCATATGGGCGCAGACGAAAAAAGTTTAAGAAGGTAATATGTAGTTTGTAAATATTTTGAATAGGGTTGCCACCTGTCGAAAGTCGAAAGTCGACTTCTGTTAACTTATACACAATGAAATATTAAAATATTCGAAACAAAAGTGTGTTAAGAAATCTTTAGCTTTAACACTAAGAAAATGTTTGCGGTATTTATAGAGGGTTGCCACCCTTTTAAAAAGTTAAATTCAAATGATTTAATAAGTTTAATGAGTTATTAAAATATGGTATCAATCGAATTGAGTTTGACAAATCTTTGTTTCTGAACTATATTCGGGGGGTTGCCACATGTTTAGAAAATCATTCATCAGTTAGTTAAAATATGTGTCCCAATTAGGGGATTCACAAGACGTGTTAACCGTCGTAAAATCTTAAGGTTAACATCTTTTTTAATTAAAATGGTTTTAGGGGATTTCTAACTAAACCGAAATTCTTTTAAACTGATAAAGAATATATAATTAGACAACTCCCCAACCATTTTAACCGCTATTTTACATAAACAAGTGTTAAGCTTAAGATTTTACGACGGTTAACACGTCTTGTGAATCCCCTAAATGTCAGACGAAGGTTATTTAAGAAGGTTTTAGCTAGAAACTACTTTTAAAGAGGGTTGCCGCCTGTTTAAAAAGTCGAATTTAATAAACTATTACGCAAACTATTTGAAATATGAAAATACGGGTGTCAAGCTAAAGCGTATTAAAAAAACTTCAGTTTGAACATTTAGAATGTTCGACAATGGTTCCCATTTTCAAAAAGTGGCAATAAAATTATTTAGGAACAATAGTAATAATAATAATAATAATAATAATAATAATAATAATAGATAGTATTATTCTTTATAATTCACTAAATTCCAGGTAGAATGGTTTCATAAAAGAAATTAGCATATAATTATAAAAACCTTAAGACAAGAATGACAGACTGCAATATAGCGAGAGAACCAGTTTGACAGAATAAAACGATAAGTTTATGGCTCCCTTATATTTTATGCCTATTTTATAACGAAAGGGCTGCCACGTTTGTACGAAAAATTGTTTTTGGGCCAGAGTACAGGGAGACTCTTATTAAATTAATGAAGAAAACACCGAAGATCGGGATTTAATCTGTACAAATATGAAAGTCCCGATTATACATTTTAAAAAACCTTGACAGCAAAAAACAAAAACAAATCGATTTAATAGTTTTCCAAATATTTCGATAACGGGGCGATGAAAAAGTTTGAAAAAAAAACACACATACACACATCAAAATTCTCTATGAAAAGAAATATTAAAAAAAAATGTTTTATTCAAAAATTTTTCACATACACATTTTTTGTTAAAAACAAAAGTTTTTGAAAATATGCCATCTAAAAAAAAAATTGAAAAAAATCACAATGGTAGATCTGAGTATTGCGCAATATTTAAGTATAGTATTATGGGGTGCGCTCTAAATAAATTGAGTTATGCACTTTTTTTTACACCGAAGTTGAGTAAAATGAGTTCATTACAAACTTACAAATTTTTAAATTATTATTTTTTTGAGTATGGACGTTTGTAGCCCATTAAATTTTAGCAAGTTTTAAGCTACTGTAAAATTGCGTTGATTTTTAATGTTTTTTATGCTGACTACTTTTTGCACTTTTTTTATTTTGTAAGAAAATGCGCTAAACCGTTTTCAAACAAAATTTAAAAAAATTAGAGCAGGTTTTTGTTTTTGTGCTGTAAAGTTTTATAAAATGTATTAATCAAGCTCAAATTTCATATTTATTTATTATTTATGTTTATGCATCAACTCTAAAAATTTGAAACCAATCAAGCACACGAAGTGTGAACCCCGTCCGTTTCGGTATGGAACATCCCATATATTTATAAAGTGCAAACATACATATTTACATACATATGTAATTAAAATTTCCGTTAAGAGGGGCTTATCTCCAATAAAATTCCTAATTAACACAAGCATTTCCCCACATTAACACATACATTTCCCCTGTTTTTCCGAATTATCGGTCGTCGGTGTTCATTTTCGCTAACGAAATTTCGAATAAGGGACGAACAAAAGGAGAATAACGTTTTCGAGTTATTCGGATTTAGCGAAGTGTAAAACCAATTCGACATTCGAAAAGCAGTGTACCATAGATGGCGCTAACATGCTTGCGGCTTTCAATCAATTATCACCAATCCAATCAGCTGGCAGGCGCTCGCCGCTTCTACAAACAGCTGATAATTTATTTCATCACAATTTAATTGTATTGAAAAAACTTAGGTGGAGGAATTTTAGAGTTAAGTGTAGAAAACAAATCTACCTCAACGGGAGCAGGTCAATGGGCCACCAAGAGTAGAAATGTCTTCGTCAATAGTAAGCATGTAAATAACCAGCACTTGAACTCCGCGACAAGTTACTTAAAAGGGTCTAATTGGAAACACACGTTCCGGCAATAATTGCCGGTTCAAAAAATTTAGGATGAATGTTTCCGACTTTATCATAGGCGGTTCCGCCTCCGTCGGTGCAACTTTCTTCACAAATCCAATTGAGGTTAGTTCAAAGAGAATTCCTTTGCAATTTTGATGTTTTACTTTAGATATAACAAGTTATGCCATATGTAGGTATGTGTGTTCATAAATACATATTTATGCAAATATAAAAAACGACACAAAAATACGCTGTGTACTATTTCACCATAGTATGGCTTAAATATTGAATTAAGGCGGATTTATCGCTTTAGTTCAGAACTAGAACGACGAATCCGCCTTTAATATCACTGTAATCGCTTGAATATTGTTTTCTGTCATAGGTGATCAAAACGCGTATTCAGCTTCAAGGTGAACTGGCAGCACGTGGGACTTACGTGGAACCTTACAAAGGCGTAATTCGCGCCTTTATTGTTGTAGGTCGCAATGAAGGATTAACCGGTCTGCAAAAGGGATTGGTGCCGGCGTTATACTTCCAATTTATACTAAATTCTTTTAGGTAAGTTGTGTTTATTACTAAGTAAATATTTTCTTATATTAAAGATAATTATAGATTAGGCCTTTACAACTTGGCGATGGAAAAGAAATGGATGCACAGTAAGAATGGTGATATATCAGTTTCCCTGGGCTTATTTTGGGGTGCATTAGGTGGCTGTGTCGGCACATATTTTTCAAGTCCATTTTTCCTGGTAAAATTTTGCTTTTGGTGCTTACATTTATGAAACGGATTTATTATGCTCGTACATATGTGTATATATGTATGTACGTATATATGTATACACTATCTAAAACAAAACAATCCATTTGTTATATGATAAGAATATGTATGAGTTCTTTTAAAAGTACCCAGTCGGCAAAATTATAAAATGAGAAGCCCTCTGGGAGCACCCATTTCGGATCTTTTGATGTGGTAGGCCTTCCGTGCTCGATTCCTTACTTCTTTTTCATTTTGTATGGAATGGCCAGTGTTTCTAGGCCTTAAGCTTCCTTTAGAAGGGAACAAAGTACCTACATGACACACACCCATGCGTCTACTGTAGTTTTTTCATTTTATTTGACTTTGGTTGATTTGGAAACACCTTCAGGTCGGCTTTCGAAAGGCAGTGCTATCGGAAGAATAGAATTCACGACAACGATGGTCTCAGTTATAGCCCTGAATAAAGCTTCTAAAGAGTTGGTCCTATTAAAAAATTCCTTCCTGAAGGCGTTTGTTTAGAAACGCTCCTCATTTTGCCGACTCGGTAACTACGTACATACGTACAGATGTATGTATGAATGAATATATGCATGCAAAATTTCATAAAGAATGATTTTCTCGAAAATTTCTTTTAAACATCATTGTGTAATATTTTAGATAAAAACCCAATTGCAATCACAAGCAGCTAAGGCCATAGCAGTAGGCTATCAACATGAACACACTGGCACTTTTCAAGCTTTACATCAAATCTACACTCAAGGCGGCATAACTGGGTTATGGCGTGGATCAATGGCTGCTGTACCACGTGCAGCTTTGGGTTCAGGTGCACAAATTGCAACTTTTGGCAAGACAAAAACAATTTTACGCGAAAATGGCTGGGTAACACAACCGACTTTGAATTCGTTTTGTGCTGGCGGTATTGCCGGTTCTATTATGTCATTGGCTATAACGCCACCAGATGTGATAACAACGCGGCTGTATAATCAGGGCGTTGACGCAAGCGGAAAGGGTATCTATTACAATGGCTGGTTGGATTGTATTGCAAAGATCGTGCGCAACGAGGGTCTGAGCGGTTTATATAAAGGCTTTTGGCCCAATTATCTGCGAATTGCACCACATTCTACACTAGTACTGCTGTTCTTTGATGAATTGCTAGCCATTAAAAACAAATATTTAAATTTAAAGCTCATTTAGGATAATTTTTTTAGGAAATGATATGTATATTTATGAGTGCTATTTTTTAGATGCATGTGTACATTTTTACGTACAATTAAGTTCAAGCCACCCTTTTATTTTTTTGTTACAAAAGATTTGTTGTATAAATTATAAAAGTTGTTATACTGTCTCGTTAATTGTTTAAATAATGCAAAAGTGCCTTTTGAATATAATAAAGTAAATATATACTGTATGTTCAAGCATCACAAAGAAGTAATTGGTTATAGGTGTTCTCTTTCAACCTGCACGTAACTAAAGTAGCATCTTCAAACGCGAATAAAAATTAAAAAAAAATAACCAGATGATCGCTCGAACGAATCGGGGATTAATTCAAATAGAAATAATATACATAATTATAAAACATAATGGGGGCTAACACAGAATCCATCGTAGTCCGATTTTTTCGTGAAATTTACGAAAATGCGATCATTGAATCGAATTGCTACGAACGTGTGTGTTCAAAGTAAAAGCTGCATTCGTAGCTATTCGGATTCAGTGATAGGATTTTCGTAGATTTCATGAAAAATCGCACTACGATAACCCTGAATAAAAAAGGTAAATGACAAAAATGTACGTTAAATAAAATTAAAATAAAATAAAAAATGAATAGATTGAAAATATTTAATTTAAAATTAAGTAAAATGGGTTGAAATTAAAAAAAAAATTAAATTAGAAAATAAAATCTAAGATAAAATATTTGTATCTTACATTTTGTATGTATATGACCGATATACATGCATACAGACATATATGCACTTATGCATACATATGTATGTACATATGTGGATGTTTAATAGACAATCTGTTGCACAAACGCTTTTTTGGCTGAAAATTCTAAACAACGGAGGCAAAGACAAGCAAACGTATAAAACTTGCAGGGTTGCATTTACCGTATTTAAACATATTTTTTACATATGAAAGGATTCGGCCTACATGATTTTTTTTTTTTGTAATAATATGTAAATGCTATTAATAAAAAACAAGTGCACATGCATAAGCATTCATATGTACATATGTATGTATGTATAATAATCATATCAACGCATGTTACTTATACGCCAAGTAGGCCAAAACATTTATACATTTTTTCGCCTCCACTGTAAACATATGTTCAGCATTAAGTTCTCTTCCGGTTCATCACTAAAAACTAACAATGACGTAGTTAGATAAGTAGTGACAAAATTGTTGATAAGCAGTGCCTTACTAGAGTGTATCAAAAAAGCGACGAATGTTAAGTCGCCACTATATAATAAAAGCTGTATACTCCAGCAGGGAAGCTGATATATAAATTTGTCTTGCTTGAACAACACAAATTGTCAAGTAATGGAGTTGTATCAACATCTTACCGGCAATAGCTAAAGAAATTGCTTATCGAGGATTAAGTAACACAAAAAGTACTTAAATAAGTAATCGGCAAAATACTTTCAATATTCAGTATGAATTTTGCTGATTTTGTGATTGGCGGTTTATCATCCACGGGTGCTTTATTCTTTACAAATCCGCTTGAGGTAAGCAATAATAACATTTTCACTTCACAAACACACACATGCATCATACCAACGTTTTGTTATACTAAATTATTACTTTGTTTTATGAGGTGATTAAGACACGCATTCAACTGCAAGGAGAATTAGCAGCGCGCGGCACATACGCTGTTCCCTATAAAGGGATTTTGCATGCCTTTACAACAGTTGTTAGAAATGATGGCTGGGTCGGACTACAGAAAGGCCTTGTGCCAGCAATGTACTTTCAGTTTATTATGAATGGAGTACGGTACGTAATGATTTTTAGATTTGAAGCCTTGAGAGTTAGAGTAGGCCACCTAAAAATAAAAATAAAAATTAGGTACAGCTTAAAATACATTACTAGAATCGAAACGGTAATAGCAACAGACAGGCACTTTTAGCATTATTTAAGTGAACCTTTCAGTAAGAGACCGCATTTATAGATCCTTCTTTCTCATATTACCAGAAAAAAAGCGTCTCGATAGGCTCCTCTCTAGCACAATTTATCTTTAATCAATTAAGCTCCTGGTACGAGGTTCCGAAAGCAAAAATTGTGTATTCCCGATACACTCTTTAATAATAACTTTTCATAAAAAAATTACATTTTAAAGCATTATTTGTATTTCCAGTTTGGGTATATATAATACAGCAGTCAACAAGCAGTGGACACGCACGAAAGATGGGGTTGAATCGTTTGGTTTGGGCCTCTTTTGGGGTGCACTTGGAGGTGCAGTTGGCGCCTACTGCTCCAGTCCGTTTTTTATGGTCCGTATATTACCCAGCTCTTAAATATCTAACCTATAGTACATATGTATTATATACATTGTATATAGATAAGGAAATGCATCAAAATGATGTACATATCGTGTTTAAAGTACAAAACCGCGTATCAACAGAATACAAAACCGCGTGGGTGAGGTTGCATAAACTATTTTCTAGAGAGTAAAAACGCTCATATTTGAAAATGGTTCTATTTTTTTATAAAACAATCGCATTTTTGGCTAGTATATTTCAGGACGAATGGATACGCATTGAGGTAAGAGCTTGTTTGCGCAAATCCAATTTGTGGCAGCAAATGTCAGTTATGCGGTTTTGCAGAATGACGATACGCGGTTTTGTACTTTAAACGATGATATGTATGTATTTCATTACTTAAGATATCATATTTAACTAAATACGTTCGGGGAAAATTTATCTCATGATAAGGCTGAATATGTTTTATAACGGAATTTTTTAGCTGGGGCGGCACGCGTTTGAAAACCCTATGAATATTTAATTAGGATTTCATCAGGCAGGTCTGCAATTCACTTTTGAGTCAAATTCACTTTGAATTAAAATTGGCATAGGTTGAAATTCACTCGGATATGAATTGCAGAACCACCTGTATGGCGATTAAAGAGCAGCTTAAGTTAGTGGTATAGTTATGAAACGCAGTATATATGTACCTATGTATAATTGTATGGAAATATGTATATGCACACATACATCTGTAGTTATATATTTTATATGTCAATTAGCGATTGTTTGTTCTTTCATTGTTGGCGGTGCTTGCAAAACCGTCGTTCGTCATCAAATATTTATCTGAAATATGCCATACTGTTGATGACTTTAAATTAAACATAATAGGTACGTACTTAGTAGATACTTAGTTTACAATTGCTAGGTAAATTTTTATAAGTTGTAGTAGCTTAAGATATCATATCTAACTAAATACGTTTAATTAATTACTTATAATTTCCACTAATGTTGTGTTGTGTCTTCCTTTTTACGCAGATAAAGACACAACTACAGTCACGAGCTCCAAAACAAATTGCTGTTGGTTATCAGCATCATCACACTGGCATGCTCAATGCCATACAACGTATTTATCGGCAAGGTGGCATTGCTGGCTTATGGCGCGGCTCTCTAGCTTCCATACCACGCGCTTCTATTGGTTCTGGTGCACAAATTGCCACATTTGGCAAGTCGAAAGCACTGCTGCGCGAGTACAATCTAGTCGTACAACCCACAATGAATTCGCTTTGTGGTGGTTTCTTAGCTGGTTGTATTGTAACTTTGGCCATTACACCGCCAGATGTTATAACAACGCGGCTCTACAATCAGGGTTTGGATGCAAATGGCAAGGGCTTATTATATAGTGGTTGGTTGGATTGTTTTTTGAAAGTTGCACGCAGCGAGGGTATATACGGTCTATACAAAGGCTTTTGGGCAAGCTACTTGCGGCTGGCTCCACACTCAACACTGGTCTTATTATTCTTCGATGAGCTTTTAGCTTTAAAAAATAAATATAAAATTTTGTTGTAGTGTTCCTGTTTCTTTTATGCGTATAGGGTGCTTATAAGATGTTTGTATGACATTTACGTTAATTTTAAGTTAATTTTATTTTCAAATAAATACGTTATGGTGTAGATTTTAGGAATTCATGAAAAATTTTGATTTAATATCGTCCCCCTTATGCCAGAAGTATGAATGTGCAAATTTAGCAATTTTGAGTTATTGGGTTGATTTTATTAACCTTTGAATGTTTCGTGTTAGGCAAAAACCTAGAATATCATGCGTACACGATAACCACATATTTTGCTATGTCAATTACATGAGGGTCATATGTAGAGCTAAGTCTCATAAAAAACTTATGATATGTCTTCCCAGAGGAAGTTGTTAGACTCACCGTAGGGTTGTGGCGGTCGAAACACGATAATGACGTTGAACTCGAAGCATTTTTCAAAAACCAAATAAATGAACAAATAACGTCAAACTTAAAAAAAATGGCAAATACAATTAATAAGCTCGATAAGGAGAAAATTCTCTGTCTAACAAACTGATAAATACACCAAAAATGGCGAAGGTATGCGTTTTTCCATCTGTCGTTTTGTAAACCAATTGAATGTATTGAAAAAAATTTGATTGCGTTTCCCCACAAAGTTGAAATTTTGAAATAATTCTCCATCTTATTAAATGTACAATATATCGACCCCTAATTGCAATTTTATCGTAAGCGACAAATTATCGAAAACATTTTTTTTTTTGCTGCAAATAGGTTACAAATATTAGTTACAACGTCCTACGTCACAGACTTTGAATATTTACCGTTACGTAAAAAATGCAAAATGAATTGTATCGTTTGCTTTATTTCCAATTTGAGTTCCAACAATTTTATCGTATTAGGGAATTTACATGAGGCGATTTTACAGGCAGCTTTTAGTTGAATGCGGCAGTTGCCTGGTGTAAATGGCCTTTCAACTAATCGTTTTCTATGAAGTTGGCCAGCTGCCTACTTTCGTCCAACTTTTGATTCAACTAATCGCCTGTGAAAATTGAATCATGTAAATTCCCTATAAGCAACCTTGTTCGTGCAGAAATTAACATATTTAATCCTTTCTTCTGTGACCGGCCAGATATAAATTTTATCAGTGCACTTGCATAATGTTCCAGAGACCGAAAATAACAGTTATTTTTTTACGAGTAAATTTAAAAAAAAAATGTATCATATGAAAGAGGACTGAAATAGCTTTTAAATAGAAAAAACTAACCGCCGCTATTTATATATATAAATTTTTTTTTATATAATTTAATACTAAAAAATTCATATACCTGATCCAAGGTTTGTTCTATACTAATTAACATTTTTTATTTAAATATTTTTCAATAGGAGGCTTTGCTCGTTTAGACATTTCAGTTTTAAAGCTATTTAAGCTCTCCTTCATTTGATACCAAACTTATTTAATTTTGATAAGCGGTTTGTTTATTATCCGGAAAGAACTTTTATTTCGGAATAAAAATATTAGACCAAGTTTAATTCGTAAAAAAAAAATAACTGTTATTTTCGGTCCTTCCAATATTCGCATTCGCAAAAGATCCGCATTGATTATTGCGAATGCGAAAGCGAATGCGAATATTAAAATTAAGGCGTTCCCACGACAGTCGGGTCTACGTAACCGGAACGACCCAGATATATATCTGGCCAAGGACTGTCACTCCAGCAACACTCCCCAAAAAGTCTTTGGGGAATTTGTATGCTGCTACAACAACAACAACAACATTAAAATTAAGGCGGAAGCTCCGCGGTTGCGAATGCGATAATTAATAGCCGTCATCGATTCGCCACTTCTCGCTCGCTATGTTTGAGTTCCGGTCGCTTAAAGAAGAATTTTGCATGCGAAAGCAACAAAAAAGTTAGCTAGCATGGATAGACGATAGCGAGTTTGGTTGTACCTCATTGAGTTCGTTCGTTTCGCCACTCGCTAACTGATGGCGAATCGATGACGGCTAATATTAATTAATAATTTTCGAAAATGAAATTTCTAGTTAAGCGAACCGAGCCCCGACTTTAACCGACTGATGAAGTGACGAATCGAAATTAAGGGCAAATAAAAAATATGAACATACTTTGATAAAATGAAAAAATATCACATGACTCACCATTTCTTTCGAACAAAATTGTACATGCAATTCGGCGCAACAGCATAACTATCGACATGCGAAGGACCATCAATTATACATATGTATGTATATGCATATATATTTACATACATACAAATACATACTACTAAATGCACTCAATTTACTGGCACTCGTTTTCACATCTTTTGCTGCGCGATTGCCTTTTATTTCTAGGCAGCGCCACCATTTTGTAAAATTTAACTTCAATGACTTACAAGCACTTCAATGCTAACACTTTTCACAACACAAATAATGAATTATATATAATTATTGAAATTACTACAAAGCACATATATGCACATTAAATATTTAACTTTTATCATAGATTTATAAAAACTTTTCACTTTAATCGAAAAACCGAGCGCTCGAGCACTTTATCCAACCGACGATTTAAGTAGAACTGAGGATACGGAACTGCTGATCATAGGAACATAGAGAGAAAGGAAACTAATGTTAAAATAATTATTTTCCCTTGTTCGATTTCCCATTATTAGCAGCGTTGACACCAACCAACGCAACGCAACGCAGATTTTGCAAACACAGGAAGATACATGCGCCGAGATTTTCAATCATTTATTCAAGCACGAAAATGTATATATATATACGTTTTGAATTAAAAGTAATACTTGAAATTGAAAATAATTAATGAAACTGGGATTTTAAGCATATGTATGTACTTATGTTTGTATATATGCACAAACATATATGTATATGTACATGCAATCATAATTTGTGTGACAATTTTTTTTTGCCAACCTATGAATTAAATGGAGCCAATTGGTTTGTGTTATGGCTAAATAATTTTTGAAAACCGTCCTACAAAATTTGGTACCAGTGAAAATTCACGCTTTCCTCTCTGTGTTCCTATCGCCAACGGTTCCGTTTCCTCAGTCGTATTAAGGCTGTCGATTGAATTAGTTGTTCGTTCGCTTAGGATTTGGTTTCGGGGAGAAAATGATTCGAGTCAATTTGTGAATCAAAATAAGTGCGCAAGTGTTTTAATAAGAGTGAATGCAGTATAACGAGGTGTTTTGGTTGAATATGTGCTCTTGCAAAATGTAAGTGCAAAAGTTTTGAATAAGAAAATGAATGTTGGTCGCTGCAGTGCCAAACCACAAGATGGCGGCACACCCAAGTAAAGAAAGTTGGTTGCGCAGCGAAAAGTACGAGCCTATTTGCGTTTGTATGAATTTGTTTATGCAGATAATTATGCCGGTATGTAACACGAGGCGACAAATGAAAGTGTACACCTTGTTGTAATATATTATTCACAATTATTTTAAAGACAAATTTTTGCATTAATTATTTACGAAAATATAGTTCACTAGCAATTACCCGGCGTGCTTCGCTGCGCCTTAAATGTATTTTTGTGTTGTAACTCTCCCCCTAAGCTCTTATGGCCTCATTTACAAANTCATGAACAGCTTTAATTTGATACCCATATTAAACAAATACATCCTAAGGTTACCCGGGTCCACGTTTTGGGGCCACGCCCCCTTTATATATCAAAATATTTTTTACCCTGTGACCATCCCTGGAAGATATCCAGTGCGTGTGTAAAATTTGGTTACGATCGGCTTATTCGTTTAGGAGCCAAGTGTGTCTATAGGTACATACATAATTTGAATTTTATATATATAGATAGATTTTATAATGGCTGCGTTTCTTTATATATTCCGGATAATCCCATTTCACAACCAGAATAAACAGAATGCGATTGAAATATACGTTAACATATCATCAGGAACGTTCTAAAGAATAAGTAAACAAAAAAGTTTATTCCAAACATTCAGAATGAATAAATAAATGCAGCCAATATAAACCATATAAGTCAAAGTTTCACACTTTATGTGAAGTTCACAAAAATTCCAAAAATTTTCATCACAATTTTCAAGTTTTTATTTAGAATTTCTAGAAAATTTGCGAGTATGCAGTTTTGTAGCCCATTGAGTTGTAGTCTGATTAGGTGCGAGTTTCAACCGGCTAAAAAATTGCGTTGATTTTTGATAATAGTGTTTTTTTGAGACTGCGTTAGCGGTTTTTTAACCGACTTCACAAAAAGAAGAAGGTTATCAATTCGTCGGAATTTTTTTTTATGTATGTGGTGGTCCCATACTAATACATAATCATGCATAATCTAATGACTAAAACCCATGATAAAAACATAGCAAGGTAGAACCGTTCTCTCATTTTGTCGGCCGTGATTTTTTTTTTGAAGTTTGCCAGCATTTTAAAATCATATAAAATTGAAAATAAAAAATTGAAATTGTTCGAAATTTTTGTTGCTTGATATTGAAAATGAAAATGTGTGTGTGAGTTTGTGAGTCAATTTAAAAATTAAAATGTTCGGAAACGTCAAGAATTTTAAAAGTAACTCTCAGCGGTTCTACCTTACTATATTTGTATCATGCTATNACCGTTCTCTCATTTTGTCGGCCGTGATTTTTTTTTTGAAGTTTGCCAGCATTTTAAAATCATATAAAATTGAAAATAAAAAATTGAAATTGTTCGAAATTTTTGTTGCTTGATATTGAAAATGAAAATGTGTGTGTGAGTTTGTGAGTCAATTTAAAAATTAAAATGTTCGGAAACGTCAAGAATTTTAAAAGTAACTCTCAGCGGTTCTACCTTACTATATTTGTATCATGCTATAACCTACTTCAGAAATACAACAAGTCAAGAAAGGCTCAACGGTCTAGCATCTATGAATATTCACAAAGATATTACTTTTTCAATTGACAAAGTTCTAAAACAATTAAAAAATTCAAGAAAAAAGTGAAAAATCTTCGTTTCATTGATTTATAATTGAATGTGTTTAAAATTATTAACATGTTTTATAAATAAAGCGAAAAATTGTTGAATGCATTTAAAAATTTCGTGTTTTTACACTTTATTGCGCATACTTTTTTCTAGAGAACCCTTTTTCTAAACCTATATTACTGAACTGTTTTTCTTCGATTCGAGTCAGTGGCTGTAGGGTCTGTATTTGTGTTATTACCTTTTATTGTACTGTGTTCATTTCAACTTTGTAATTTTGGAAATTTTAGATTTATGTGATTTTTGTGGTTCGTCAATCAAATAGAAAATTTTTATTATTCAAACTTTTCTCAAATTGTGTACAACAGAAAATAAAATAAGTTTTGTTATTTAAAATAAATACCTACAGTGGCGGACCACAAGGGGCCCTAAAATTCACTTTTTTTAAATAATCCTTACTTATGAACATCCTTCGTTTATAAATAGATTATACAACATAAAAACTATCGCAAGCGCCAATTATTTGATAACTTTCCTCTCAGCATGAGCAGGAAAAATATCATAAGCGCCATTTTTCCATAATAAAGTATGGTATGCAAAAAATAGATAGTGCCATTAGAAAGCTATCATTCAATAATATTGTTGTCCTTTTAAATCCAAATAAATTTTTATACTCTTTAAGGGAGAACTAAAAAAACATCTCCTGAAAAATTTACCTTTCGTCGCTTACAATAAAATCGCAATCAAGGGTCGGTAAATAGGCGATTCCAGCGAAAAGTCTTTATTACGCGCCTCGAACAGGCCCATAGAAAAATGTATACACAAATGATTAGAATGAAAAAAATAAATCTATCAAGCGGTGACTGTCTGTCCGTCCGTCCGTCTTTCCGCCTGTGCACACGATAACTCGAGCAAAAATTTAGATATTTTAACGAAACTTGTACTTCCTTTCAGCGTAGGACGGATGGTATTGAAAATAATCAAAATCGGACGATAACCACGACTACCTCCCATATAACGGTAGTTTTCAAAAATACGAAAACTACAATATTTTAGTAACTACTGAAGCTTATGCACTCAAAATTCATATTTACAATGATTTTTAGGTGAAAAAAGATTACATGTATGTATATATCTTGGCAATCGTTTCACCAATTTCTCCCAAACTTGGCACAGTTGTTGGTCTTGGAAAATCATAACAAACGGCTAAAAAATCGGACAATAACCACGCCCAGAACCCATATAAAGATATTTTAGGGAAATACGAAATCTTCGATTAGTCAATAAAGACTGCAGCTAATTTATTCAAAATTTACGTTTGCAATAATTCTTTTGCAAAAAAATACGTTTATAACGGTAAATTTCAGAAATGCTTGAAACTTCGATACTTCGAAATTTAAGGATCTAATTTACTCAAAATTGATACTCAGAATTCCATAAACTAAAAAAAAACTAAATTCCAAACTAAAGTGGGTTGGGTTGAGCCTGCACGTGGAGGTGGTTGATATCGCGGGAAAATCTGGGTACTCCAGGGTCTAGTCTGAATAGGTAAAAGTTTATCCATATCTAATATACGAAATTTTCCATGTCATGGCGCTCAGTTCAATGTCAATATCCCCTTCCCTAAATAACAAGAAATTTTATCATTACGCTATTTTAAACAGAACACAAACCAGTGTTTATTTGAAACGCATGTTTTTTTTGAAAATGATCCTTTACATATATACTAAATTAAATACTTATTACATTTTATTTTCGATGCATTTTAATGTATGTAAAACAAAAATATATGTATGAAAGTTTGTGATGAATCAATAAATCATGCTAACTACAGATTTTCTTCTGTCATCCTCGAATACCAACTGCATTTGTATTTTAATAAAGATTTATCGAAGAAAATAGGGATGGAAAGAACAGCACATACGCAACTGTTTTTCTTTCGAGAAAACATAACACGAAACAAAATGTATAATCGCACATTAGGAACCACCTCTAAATGAATTGCTTTTAGCAAGACATTCCACTTAGCAATAGTCGCATGCGCCGCTACCGCCACACTATTGGGATATCCTTTAAGGTACACAACGTGTGGTTGATAAACAGGCGTTGCAACCTCTTTACAACATGCTTACTGAGTTTCTCCTTGCACGCGTACAAAACGATTCAGTATGGCTAAAATGCCGGCCATAGCGTTTACGCGACTGTCGGTAGGGAGACGTCGCAGTTGCTCGACCAAGTGTGCAGCAAATGCCGTATTATCCTCGAAGTCGGTTAACTCCAATTGCAGGGATTTGTGTGCACGATAAGCAGCAGTAAGCGCATTCTTTTTTGCCTCAGTCATTGTAAATGTGTGGTGCAAAAAATCTCTTGCCGTATTGGAAAAGAATTTGACGCTAATAATTGTACACAGGGCGAAACTGGACGAAAGCAGAATAGTTTTTATGTAAGTATTTACAATGTATTTGTTATTATCTTACCGTGTAATATATTTTCAAGTTTTGGTTGATTATTGTAAATATTTTTGTTCACCTTTTAACAAATGCACAAAATGTTAGAAATTGGCAAATTTTTTGCAATCTGCTTCTGCTACGAATAGGAACGTAAACAAAAAATGACGTTTTGAAAATGAAGTTTGCTGACAACATATAGGCGTTGCCACACAACACTTATTTAGTTATAATTTAATTTCCAGTGATGCATAACAATTCGGATCGACATGTTGCGACATGAAGCAAAAATACAACCCAACCGACGTTAGCACCAGTGATCGGAGCTCTACCACATTGTGGTAGATCGTCCACTTTTTTGGCCATCTACCACATCTACCACCCAAGGTCCGAAATCTACAACATATTCGCGTTTTTGAGAAGTATCATTTTTGCTCGACATAATTTACTTAATTTTTTTATTTAACTTTGTTTAATTTTGATTTTCGTTGTTTTCTTTGCTTTGNAAGAAATGAATTGAAATTGGAAGGAGGCAAAAAATAATTGATATAGCAAGTGTTTATTGTGCTTGTGCTTGTGTGAATGTGTTTTGTACATACATTTCTGTTTTTATTTGACGTTAGTTTTGTTGTTGCCATTATTTGGACTAAAAATTTGGTTTTTTGCGTTCCTTTACTTTTCCTGTTATTCTCTTTTAGTGAGCGCATTTTGACACTTTTCAGATTTTAGTCCAAAAAGATAAGGAATGAACCTATTATTTCTTGAGGAAAGAGTGAGGCAACAGGCTGTGAGGTATAAAAAATGTCAAAATTCCTTGGACACACACGCGAAATAATGGCAATTTTTTCTTGACCGTTTTCTTAAGAGCTGGATACTAAGCTTTACCAGTGAAAAAAGATGGCGTGGAACCCTCTCAAAAAATCGACTTTTTGCACTCTTTCGTTCTTGCGTGATCTTGTGTCGTTCGTTCATGATGTTGCGGAGCAGGGACCGGAGCAATATTTTACGCATGTTTTTATTAAAGACCTTTTTTATCCTGCCCACGCTTTTGGACGCAATAAGCCAAACATATTTTACAAATAACCGAACCGTACCGTTTAAAATAATATTAGTAGCTCAGAAGAGTTATTGTTTTTAAAAACCTATTAACTTGGAATTTATATATAAACACATGTATGGATATGGAATTTATACATGCAAACGGCAAAGCAATTTTGGACAGTTTATTTATGTTTCAGCAAAAAATTTAAAAGCGTTCAGAGAAAAGCTTTTCAGAAAGCAGTTGCATGAGCAGTTACACCTTGCATATAAAGTATCTTTCGAAAGCGGTTTTTTATTCCCTAATGGTAATTTTTTCTTGACCGTTTTCGTGAGAGCTGCATACAGGGCTTTAAAGGCGAATTGCAGATTGCTGGTGCAGCACGAGCAAAATGAAATATACTTCCGAAATCGATTTGCGCGCTTTGAGTTGCCGTCACACTTTGCAACATTCATTTCTGAAACTGATTTCCGAAAAGTGACAGAAAGGTCTTTCTGGCTTTTCACACATGTAAATAAAATTTATTTCTCAATTTGAAAGCGAATTGCGTGGAAAAGTTGGAAATTTGTCAAGTCTGACATGCTCTATATTGACACATATCTCTTAGCTCTCTCCACCGGCGAATCTGCTTGCTATTCACGTTACTCTTCCGAATTTCACATCAATCAGCGCAATTTTGTATCCTATCGGTCCGATGTGTATTTTAAAATGCTGCAAGCTGTTTCACAGTGTGAACAGAATACTACTTTGTTGAGGAAATGCCGTGGAATTTCGTATTTATTTCATAGAAAGAAACTTTATTAGCAATTTGACAGCTTTTTCACGTGAAACAGGAACAGAATAGTATACTTTATTTCCGAAATTTGACAGCGAATTCAATATTGATTACGAAAAATCGCTCGTGTAAATGGTGATTCAAAAATCGCTTACCTCAAAGTAGACAGCAAGTAATTATCGCCTATCGAAAAATTGCCTCATGTAAAGGCAGCTTAATAAAAATTCAAGTTAAACTCCTGGATTCCTCTCTTTAGCAATATTTGCCATCAAAATTGTAGATGTGAGTTGGCATCCCATATTAGCATGCACGTAGTAAACAAAAGGGAATTGCAACGATAAAAACTGCTGGCATTTGTGAAAGTAGAACGACTCGGTGGTGCAAAATATCTTGATAAAATAAAAAAGAAATAAATAATTAGTCTAATTAATTCATACTCAACTGTTAACTCAATCAGTGCGATATTCCGTAACTGCTGCTTTCACCTTTTTTATAAAGCTAAAAGTGTCTCGGCCTTGAGTGCAGTGCGGGCGCTCACAAGATGAAAACAAATCCACAACTTTGTACACAGCTTTTAGCATTGATGCTTCTTAGCACATGCCATTTAAGTGATGGATATCGAAATAGTGAGTAACCTTGTGTTTATTAAACTAATCTCTTTTTAAACAACTTCAAAATTTAGTTATGCTAAAGGATTACTTGTGCGCTGACAAGTTTCTCTTAACACTGCAAACGCCCTTTCGAGGTCACCCCGCATTTACGCTTACTGAAGACCGCGATTCAGCAGCCACCATTACACAGGTGTGGAATACTACATTACCTGGGTTTTATTCTTCCAACAAACTGAAATATGATTGCCACTTTCGAGTGCAAACATCTGAACGACCACCCCGCGGTATATACACCGTCATTACGCGTCTCAAATTTCGGCGCGACCCAGTGACAAATACTTGTCTTGATTACATACAATTCGTTGGCGGGAATCGTCCACCATCCGAAAAGATATGCAACGAAATAGCCATAGATGGTCCAGCGGGACGGTTAATATTCGATCAGCGGGATCGTGAAGTTAGCATTCACATTTACATTGATCGACGTCATTCGATCAGGGAACCATTAGAACTGCGCATGGTGCTGACAGCGCATTCCGAGTGCAAATATACTGGCGATTTTTTGTGCGACCCTAAGGATCAATACTCATGCATTTCCAGACATTTTGTACGTGATAATATAACGAATTGCATGTATCCGTGTCGGGATGAGATTTCCTGTTTTCACGATGGCATCACCCCGGACGAAATGGATACTACAAATGTAGCACTTTCAGCACTTACGTCGTTAATTTTCACAATGCTTGGTGTAGGGTTTTGCGTATGGGTTTGTTGGAAATATTGGAACTGCATAACAGTGCAACAGCATGCACATGAAGCGTCTGCGGCTGCACTACGTAGAGGGCAAATAGTGAGTATTTATTAATAATGATTCATTATTAACTTTGTGAGTACGAGAGTACATAAATACATATTTCAGTTGGATAAGAGTATTCACGCCTTCTTGTATACGTGACTTTTCAAAATTCGAACAACCGTGATTTGAAAATGCATACATATGCGCATATATCGCACACCGCCTTTAAAAGAGTCACAACTCAAAACTTGGCATTTTTGAGATTATGCGATAAAAATGTACGCAGAGCTTTTATTTTCCTTTCAGCAAAAGCTGGAGCAAATTTTTGTTATAATTTGTTAAAAAAAAAGTAAAGGTAAAATCGCCCTTGCCCATTTAATTATCATGTGCTAAGAAATAGTTTTACGCATTTTCTGACAAACGTTTTAATTTGAGTTGTGACCCTTTTGAAAACGGTGTGCGATATGTAAATACATACATACTTATGTACATATGTCCATATCGTCGCTTAAAGTACAAAACCGCGTATCGTCATTCTGCCAAACCGCGTAACTGACTTTTGCTGCCAAAATTTGTATTTGCTTACACAAACTCTTGGCTCAATCCTTATTCATTCGTCCTGAAATAAACCATCCAGAAAAGCGATTGCTTTATAAAAAAGACAGCCATTTTGAAATATGAGTGTTTTTAGTCTATAGAAAATAATTTATGCAACCTCACATACGCGCTTTTGCATTATCTTGATACGCGGTTTTGTACTTTTAATCGCGGATATGTATGTATATACGCTATTATACACAATATGCACGTTTGCTTTTTAACCGACTTCAAAAAGGCAGGAGGTTATCAGTTCGTCGGAATATTTATTATTTTTTTGATGTATGTTCGATATGTTTCGATAATTCAAGGGTGGTCCCATACTAATTTAGTTTAGATACGATAATTGGATAGTGAAGAAATTAACGACAATCTTAAATTTTTATATGAGAATTGAAGTCGGTTTTGTTTTTTGCTTAAAAATTACTTGTTTACATAAAATCTTTAAATTTCAGGATACCCCGGTTATTGAGTTACCAATTGCGCCATCTTTTAGTGATGCTATTACCACAAACATTGGACATGAACTAGATAATCAACGCCAACAACCACAAACACCAAAAGATTTACCACCAAGCTATGAATCACTATTTCCCGATAGATAAGCGGCCAATTGTACTGGTTTTATGTATATCTATATTTAAGGAATCTCTTTTGTACTAATCAAATGTGAATGAGCAAATTTTATAAGTTAATGAACAGTTGTGTGTAAATAATGTGCCAGCAGCATGCTACTAGTTATAACTGCGTATATGCATACAAATGGATATACGTATAACTACATGTATTGTACTGTGCTGCCAAAGCATTTATATATATATTTTTTTGTTTTTACAATCCGTGATGTAATATTGCTATTATTTGTTTATATACATATATATTTTTTGTTAATGTTTGTTAGTCCCAACAAATGTGTGTATGATTATTTATGTTTGTACATATGTATATGCATGTAAAAACGTTAAGAAACGTATCTTTTAAATTGTCTAAAAGCTCAACCATATAAATTTGTTTCGTGTTTTCCTCACCAGTAGACTTTATAGTATGTTGAAAATTGTAACTGCCTTTGAAAATACAAACTATTCAATTATAAATCAAGTAATATACAGACTTACAGAAAAAGTAAACTCAACCATTTTAATATCGATATGAATCTAATTGTATACCAAAGAAGTACTCTTCAGTAAAAATGATATTAAAAGAGATTTACGTACATATGCAACAATTATTTAGATAGCCAATTATTCATTGTAAATAGAAGGTTTTCGGAGATTTCAACACAAGATGAACAAATAAAAAGATATTGGTAGATATTACATACATAAACATATGATAACTGTTACGAATGCACATGTGTTAGCTGTACCTGTTAAAAGGTCGTTCACTAAAAAGACAAACAAGTGTTAATATGTTACGCACAAAAAGAAAAATAAAATAAAATTTGTTAGCTGATAGTATAAGTAAGACTCTGTCCTTGTCTTCCGTGCTGCAAATTGAACATTTGATAAGGACATAAAAGTATTTCCATGTTTCAACGACTAGTTATTTGTTCTCTATTGGAAATTTAAACTCAATTTGAACTTAAAGTGGCTTTCGTTGAAATTTATTGGGAAATTAATTGCAAAACCGTTCCCATAATATACTTAATAGGCGATATAAAACCAGATTGCTTAAAAATATTTTTGTTTTGCTTTACATGTTTTGGAAATAATTGTTCACATGGAATTTGCGTTATGGACGAATTTTTATTCACCAATGCTTTAATATCCTTAAATTTATGTATCTTAAGTGCTGAACACATTGAAAACGATGAGCTACGGGCCATAGCTTCCAATTTGTTATTTTCATTATCATCATCATGAATTTGTATGAGTTTGACATAGAAGAGGAAGAACCTTATCTATCGCTGGGAAAATAGAAATAGATCTAAGCTGGCCAAAACCATAGTCGTCGCGTAGCCCTGTCGTCGCCAAAATAATTATCTACATCATAAGAATACGTGGACAAATAACTTGACAGCTGTGGTCTGTAGCTCGTAATTTTCTTTGTGTTCTGGGTATAATTGTACGAATTTTGATTTAACGGCTATTTTGTATATACTGAAACTTTTATTATTTAAACTTGAGAAAAATATTGTGACATGTAATTTTCTTCATCACACTTTAAATATGCATTAGATATTACTTTTTTAATGCATTATGCTCGTTTCATACTGGACATTATATAACAAAAAATATTAACGACAAACTTTGGCACGTTCCCACGACAGTCGGGTCTACGTAACCGGAACGACCCAGATTTATATCTGGCCAAGGACTGTCACTCCAGCAACACTCCCCAAAAAGTCTTTGGGGAATTTGTATGCTGCTACAACAACAACAACAAACTTTGGCATTAAAAACCAGTGTCATTACGTCAAAAATGAAAATCCTTAAAACTGTTTCGTTTCGTTTTATTTATAAATTCCTTTATTGTTTTTACATAATTTGTTTTTTTTTTAGTTATTTTTATTTATTATTATATTATTTTGCTATATTTTAAGTGCACAATTGAATTTAGCGCCCTACCGCTTCTAATTTGCATATATTTTGCTAACTACCTACCTACACTTTTTCTACGCCTAAAATTTCGCAGTCTAAGCCAATACTCAAACTGAAGAACTATAGTATGTATGTATGTATATGTAACTAATACTAAATAAGATACGGTTAGTGTGAATTTACTTTGTATTTAAAAAAAATTATACGTCGATTGTAACGAATAATACATTAAAGAGCAAAAATAAACTAAATGTAATTAATCAAAACTACCATAAAATTAATTATTTTTTAAGACGTAAAGAGATTTTAAGTTCGTGCCTAACCGACCTTTTATAGCCGGCGCACGAATTCAAAAAAGGTATCACATTCGTTTTGCATTTTAAAGACATGCCGATACGGTAAAAACCGGTTTATCTATTAAAACGCTTTGCAAAATTAAATCGTTGCATATATGTACATAAATATGTATGTGTGCATACACTTTTGTGTGCACATATTCATTCTTACTCATTTATAAATAATACATTTCTTAATAATTTTATAAGGCGTCATTTTCAGTATTATGACTCATCAAGTCTACGAAAAGTATGTACATTAGTGTGGTCTTAAGTTGCAATTTTTATGCTCTCAGCCCTATTTTTTATTTTGAAACAAAAAATATGTAGAGGTCGCAGAAAGCGCTCAAAGTTTTCCATGTACTTTATGCAAAAAAAAAAACAGTGAGTATATTTTTTCGGTATAGAATAATCCTGGGGTGAGAGCATTAAGATTCGGACTTTATTTTTTTTGTGCCACCCTAATGTATGTACATACTACCTGTTCAATATGCCGTGATCAACAGTTATTTTGTTATACGATCGATTTGTGCTACATGCATAAATATGTATGTACGTTAGGGTAGTCAAAAAATTTAAAGTCGGAATTTTAATGCTCCCACCTCTTAGGATTGTTCTATATCGAAAAATATACCCTCATTTTTTTATTTTGAAATCAAAATATATTTAGAGGTCGTTCAAAGCGCTCCATGTGCTTCATACGAAAAATGCAGTGGGTATATTTTTCGTTATAGAATAATCCTAGGGGGTGAGAGCATTAAAATTCCGATTTTTTTTAAACCACCCTAATGTATATACAATATGCCTTGATCCATGGTGAAATTATGCCAGGTGTAATAATAAAACAGCTTTCTCGCTTTATTGGGGAAAATGCCTCGGTATCCCAAGCCGACAAGTCGCGGCTGGTATTCCTCAGCACTTAGAAATGGCCGGGACGCTTCGAGAGGATGCAGGTGGGCAAAACCCACATTGCCTTTAATTCGGAAGGTTCTGCCAGGTATTTGCTTTCATTGAACAGTTGGAAGAGCAGACAACTTCTGGGACTGTTGACTGGAGACAGCGTGTCACAAACACCTGACAATAGTCGATATAAAAGACAACCTCATTTGCCCTTCCTGCTTGAAGAAGATGTGACCGCAGAACACCTTTTGCGTCTCTGCCCTGTCTTCTAAAATGACGTTTCAGATTTATGCCAGCGATTTGCTGAAAGACGAACACTTGAACTCTTTGACACTCAACAATCTGATTCGATTTATTCGTAAATTAAGTAGATGTAAATCAGATTAAAAGAAACATGAAAACAGTAAATTAGGCGGCCTATGTGCTGTTTGTTTTTTCACGCTGTTTTGTGTATTTAGTTCCGACAAAAAAAGGGGGAAAAAAATTAAAATTAAATTTAAATTTCGTGCAAAAATGTGGCCGTACCGAAGCCAAGATTAAGGACGGCTAGGCTTAAGAAACTTTGAAATTGTAAAAGTCGAATTTCTCACGCTTTAAAAAAGAACAAAATAATTAGTAATACTATCGGTCAAAGTTATCGAACGCCATGGAAAGCATGACGCACTTCCTTTCTTTAAGATTTTATTCGTTTACATTTAATCTTCGGCGTCTTCATTTTTGGAAATGCAATTACCTTACCTTAACTTAACTGGTATGTATGGCCAATAAACAATTAAGAACGTAAACATGTAAATACGTAAGCCTAAATTGCCGTTGTGGCAAAAATTGAGATTTGGTTACCCCTAACTCCAGGCATTGCGTTTTATGCATAAAAAACCACTTTTTTGCTTTCCTGAACAATTTGAGTGCCGTAAGATAGGCGGTTTTGCAAAAACGATTTATAATTGAGAAGTCGCCGTAATATAAATTTAATTTTGATTCTTATCATCGGTGCGAGTGCATTGACCAACGAATCGACTTTTTAGAGACATGCAACTTTTGAATTGTAAAGTCGGACATATGCACATTGCGTCACGTACGTACATACATACATATGTACTTACTATGCGTGTACATTAGGGTGGTTCAAAATAAAGTAAAGTCGGAAATTCCATGCCACCCCCCTAGGATTGTTCTGTGCCGAAAAAATATACCCTGTTTTTATATTTTGCAATCAAAAAATATTTAGAGGTCGCTCAAAGCGCTCAAAGTTTTCCTTGTACTTTATATGTATGAAAAAAAAAATAAAAACTTCGTAGAAATGTCGGGAATTCTTGAAAATCTTCAGCAGAATTCCACTAATAATACATAATTGTTTATTTGAATTTTCTAATATCAACAATTTTTTATGGGTCCCCCAGTGCACCAGTGAATTTTCTTTGAGGTTTTTGGGGGACCTATGTATAAAACAGTCAATATTAAAATTAATTATTATCGGAAGTCTCTTGAAGAGAAAAATATTGATTTCTATACCATTTCTGCGTGATAGTGCTTTTTCCCATATAAAATACAAGGACAACTTTGAGCGCTTTGTGCGACTTCAAAATATTTTTTGATGCCAAATCAAACAAAAAAAACGTAGGTAAATGCTTTTCGGTATAAAACAATCCTAGGGCGTGAGAGCATTAAAATTTTAACTTTATATTTTCACATAAATTTTGAACCACCCTAATATATGTGCTAAATGTCAATTAAAAAAAAATGAAGATGTGCGTTATTTCAGTTAAGTTAATTTCACTGCTTGACTTAACATAAATCTTCGTGCACAAAGGCCGTGGGAGTTTACTAATATATTATTACATATGTATGTATGTATGTATATAAATCAGTTTGGAGCTTTTTGGGTTTGGTATACGATTTAGCATGGGCGATCATTCATTTGAGCGCAGAAGGAACGAGACCG